CCGCGAGGAGTTCGACGATAGCGACGGCGACGAGGGATCGGACTATGGCAAGTACAAGTCGGCCATGTCGGTGGGCGTGAACCTGGTGGCCGGACGACCCCGGGAGGCACCCAAGGCCCTGACCAATGCCCACAACTCACCGCCCGAGCTGGTCAACGGAGGCCTGGGCGACGACTCCAGCGGCGGGGGGTTGAGACCAGCAAGTCCAGCAGCGACGGCCAGTCAGAGCAGTCCCAGTCCTCGACCTCCTCGTCGCCCAGTGCCAACATCCCGCTGATGAGGATCGTTCAGTCCGTCAAGCACACCAAGAAGCGGGGCGGACAGGCACTGAAGGAGGGCTGGCTGGTGCACTACACCTCGCTGGACAAGGCCGTCAAGCGGTACTACTGGCGCCTGGACTCCAAGACCATCACCCTCTTCGTCTCGGAGCAAGGCAGCAAGTACCACAAGGAGCTGCCGCTGGCGGAGCTCCTCTCGATCGAGAGCCATCTGGGCGATCCGCGACCGGAGTCCAACTACTGCTTCGAGCTGCGCCTGCTCAATCTCAGCTACTTCGTCGGACAGGATCCGCAGGTGGGTGCCAAGGAGGAGCAGGCCGTCCGGTTGCCTCCGCCGGACAGCGGCATCGGCAGCGATATCGCCAAAAGCTGGGAGACCAGCATCCGGCAGGCCTTCATGCACGTCACCAACACGCGTAAGTAGGGGAGTTGTAAATAGGAGAATTAGACTTATTCGGTCGCCCTTTGAATATATATCATATAGAGTAGGTTATAAACGGTGCAACACTATATCATCAGATAAATAGGTATATAGTTTTAATGCTTAAAATTGCTTAAAGGAAGGTTTTATAGCTTTAAAATGTTTTGGTTTAATACATATAATTATATAGTTTAATCTTAAAAAAATATTATAAAGGTACTGTTCCGGCAGACAGCACTTCTCACGACAATTAAATCTGATAATTTCTGTAATTTCTGTACATTTTTAAAATTCAAAAAGAAAATTAGACAAATTTTAGGTTATATTTTTAGCGCTTTTCACCATTATAATATATTTTTTAAAGCATTATCACAAAAAAAATGTTTGTTTTGTGTGTGAAATATACTCAACTAAAATGCTTACCTCTTCCAGAATGCTGCGAGTCGGAGGAGCAGGTGCAGGACATGGGCCAGCTGTACCAGATCTTTCCGGACGAGGTTCTCGGCTCCGGGCAATTCGGCGTGGTCTACGGCGGAGTGCACAAAAAGACGCAGCGCGAGGTGGCCATCAAGGTGATCGACAAGCTGCGCTTCCCCACCAAACAGGAAGCGCAGCTGAAGAACGAAGTGGCCATCCTGCAGAACATCTCGCACTGCGGCGTCGTCAATCTGGAGCGGATGTTCGAGACGCCGGAGCGGATCTTCGTGGTGATGGAGAAGCTCAAGGGCGACATGCTGGAGATGATCCTGTCGCATGCGAGGGGCCGGCTGAGCGAGCGCGTGACCAAGTTCCTGATCACCCAGATCCTGATCGCCCTCAAGTACCTGCACTCGCAGAATATAGTCCACTGCGACCTGAAGCCGGAGAATGTGCTGCTCTCCTCGGACGCCGAATTCCCGCAGGTGAAGCTCTGTGACTTTGGCTACGCCCGCATCATCGGCGAGAAGTCCTTCCGGCGATCGGTGGTCGGCACTCCGGCCTATCTCGCCCCGGAGGTGCTCCGCAACAAGGGCTACAACCGATCGTTGGACATGTGGAGCGTGGGCGTCATCATCTACGTGAGCCTGAGCGGCACCTTTCCCTTCAACGAGGAGGAGGACATCAACGACCAGATCCAGAACGCGGCCTTCATGTACCCACCCAACCCGTGGAAGGAGATCTCCTCTAATGGTGAGTTGTAACCTTAATTTAAAATAAATTACTTCTTAATGCCAATCAATGAATTTAGAAATTAATACGATTACCTGTTTAGAGCAGAACCGTTTTTGATTGACATCTAGAATTGTAAAAGAAACAAGTAATTTATACCTTAATTAAATTTTAATTAATTTTATACCTTATATAAATTATTAAAATATTTAATTGTGGAGATTTCATAAAAAATCATTTTCCAGCCCTACCAAATTGTATTTACTATTTATATCAAGAGTTAATAGGGCTAAGAATAGAAACTGATGTCTATAAACGGTTCAGAATCTTCAAAATGGCCATAGCTTTCAACAAAAAAAAGCATAGTACAAAAAACTAATTTTAACTTGAATATAATTGGTTAAACAAACAAAATCAGTTTTAAAAAGACTATAGTTGGAAATTTAAGAAAGGTATATGCACCAAAAAAGTTGTCACATAAACTTTAACATTGTTACATGAATGTTAAACTATTGGGTATAAACAATTTTTTTATTAATAAGTGTTAAATTAATACCACGAAAGTATCAAAAGAAACTTATGCGATTTAAAAACAAGGACTTAGACAACAGTTTTTATACTCTTCGGTATAGAAATTAGTATTATTAGTATTGAATTTACACTTAACATACACTGTGGTCTATTTTCAAGGCACACTAATAAAAACAAGACATTCGGTTTTTTTGAGTGTACGTTTTATAACCTTTTTTGAGTAGAACCTTTAGAAATGTGCTTTAATCTTGTCACTTCTTTTCCAGCCATTGACCTGATCAACAACCTGCTGCAGGTGAAGCAACGCAAGCGGTACACGGTGGACAAAAGTCTGCTGCACTATTGGCTGCAGGACAAGCAGACGTACCGTGACCTCCGGACCTTGGAAACCCAGGTGGGCGGCGGCCGGTACTTGACCCACGAGGCCGATGACCTGCGCTGGGACTGTGCGGGCGACATGTGACCTGGCTGTGAGCCCGACGAGATCCTCGAGAGCACCACCACCGAGATAATGAGCTGCACCACGACCACCACCGAGAGCTATCGTCCATCTCCGGCGGATTGTGCCGGATGCCATCGGCTTTCGGACTGCGGCAACTCACCCAAGTCGGAGGCCATTAGCGACAAGGCCCTGAAATGGATGCGGTTCCATCTCTGCCGGCACATTAAATAGCAGTACAACTCTATTGCCTAGCCCATAAGTTTATCCCATCTCTCTAACTCGCTTGTCAGTAACTGCTAAACAAATGGATTCTTCTAACTTACAACTCTGTGTGTGCTAAATTTTTCTCTAGAATCAAAATTAGTCGATAGCTTTAAATCGTTAACCACCTAAAGGCAACTCTTATGAATAACTCTACACAAATAATATACATAAATCCGGAAGTTACTGTGAACCTCAGATTCAGTTTAGATCTAATGGCCATAAGGTACACAAAAAAACATTAACCAAATGAATGGCCGGAAAAATATAGCTGAATAAACAACGCTTGACAATTAATATTTTTTTTATAATTTTTTTATTTGCATGTGTGTTTATGAAAAGAGGTTGGTAACTTAATAGTAAAGGGAATAATAAATAAATAAAAATAATAAAAATATGTTTATAAATATTCATAAACTCATAAGAAACTTTTTTTTATTGTAGCTCTGAATTTATAAGCAACAGGTTAAAAAAAAATATGTGTTTTGTTTTAATTTTTTTGGTAAAATTTTAAATCTACTTTTATGCCCATGACTGTTTACTTTAACACCCACATGGCTTGTCTACATCCAAATGTGCAGCAAAAAATCACAAATCGTTGGCCTGCGACGACTGGCACCTTTCTCGGAAGACTTCTACAGCACTTACCAGCAGTTCTTTACCAACTAACAACCAGAGAAGATGTACTTTTTTGTGGTTAGGTGTTTCCTCTTCTTAATGGTCTCCAGGATTAGTCAACAGGGCGATGACTTTAACACGCCCAGTTCCGCCTGGTTGGAATACCAGAGGGAGAGATTTGGCATCATTAGTCCCATGATGGTCAGCTCTACCAAGGCACCAACCCTGAATGTGGATGTGGTGACTCCAAAAGTGGAGACCACATCCAGAAAACATTCCTCCAACCCATCCGAGAACGCCAGTCAAGAATCGGAGGAGGAGCAGACCACAGAGCAGCCATCGGAAGATGAGGGAATGGAAGTGCCCAGCGTGCAGGGATTTTTTAAATTCCTAAAGACCATGCAGAAGACCTGGATCACGAAATCGGCTCTGACCTTCGGGAAGAAGATAAAGCTGCTAAAGAACCTACGCGACAATCTAATGCGACTAATTGGTGCGTATTAAATCTATCTTAATTTAAATTGATATGAAAATGGTTTTTCCCTTTTAAATTGTTTCCAACAGAGCAACAGTTCGCGGCTATGTGGCAGCCACCAGAGCGAAAAAGGCGACGACGACGGGGTTTACTGGATGATTCCAATATAGATTTTCCGCCTGAGGCGGCGCTCATGACCATAAACTTCCTCACATTCGCCGTTTTTCTCATCAAACTGGTCATGGTAAGTTGGAAAACCTTCTTTAAAAATTGTTTATACTTAAAACTTTAAACACTTGCAGCAAGTAGTGAAGATTGTCAAAAGCAAACATTATTCACTTTCTGGATTCAGCTTTTTACCGGAAACTGCTAGACGTCCATAAATCATTTCAATGGAGTTAAAACTAAATAACATTATATTTGATGAAATAAATAGAAAAGGCTTTAAACGGTCTATCATTTTTTTAGTTTAAATAAACTTTAAATTTAATTTAACAAACTTTTAATTTTAATTAAATTTATGTAATAGTTTTCTTTCTTAATAAGAGCTTCGTGTATTTTTGTTAAAGAGTTTGCATTAAAAGTTAAAGTATGCCGTTCTTAAATTCTGTAAATTAAAATGCATTATTATTTTGTAATTTTATTAATTTTTCATAGTAAATTAATATTAAAATAATTTCTTTAAATTTTAACCATTTTGCCCAGGGTTCACTTAACAATCTTCCTTTTCAAAAAATATAAATCACTTTTCACCAACTGCGTCTCAAAATCACTTGGCAACCAGTGACTTATTCAAGCATCTTATATCAGTTAGCTTTTGTCAGCGCACTGTCAGCTGTTTCATTTTCCTTACACGTGCTGCATTTTGATTGTTTTTAAACTCGGAACAAATTCAAATACATATTTTGAAAAATGGAAGATAAAACAGAAATAGAGACCGTGTGCGATCACAAAAGAGATGAGCACCTGCCCGCGATTCGTAAGCAATTAAAGTTTCCCAATTACTTATGAAATAACAAAAATCTCCCATCCATAGTTAAATTTCAGAATGGATCCCTTTTGGGCAGTGGCGAATTTTGCACGGTGGAAAGCAAAGCGGATCAGAAAAAGCAGGCTTTAGTGGTGGCCGGCGATCAGATGTACACAGGTGACCTGCAGGATAGCCAAGAATTCGACACCTACATATGCCTGAGAAACAAAGCCACCAACAAAGTACAAATTGTACCAGTGCAACAGGCCTTGCTTTCAAATCACATATACAAGAAACTGGAGCGCCAGAAGCGGACAGCGCCCATGTTGAGCAGGGAGCACGCCAACAAGAAGCTGCTAAAGGAGTTTGGAGGACGCAAGGCTTCCAGATTTGTGGACAACCACGAACAGATGATGGTCAACGTTGAGGTCGTTCGACAGGATCTGGATGAAACTGTGAAAGCATCGACTATGAACGAAGAAAACGAGGATGAGACTCTGGCCGATGTGAGCATCAGCAACGAGGATTATCTGGCCACCATTGTACCCAAGTTCGACAAGGAGGCCACTGAACTAAGTGGTGTCTACGATGTCAAGGATGTGATTTCAAGCGAACTGCTTGAGCGGCTGGACGAGGAGGCCAAGGTGGTCTTCTCCACGCCTCTTCAGACTTTGCCGTAAGTGGTTCAACCAATTTCAACTTAACACCTCGCCTACAATCTCTTTACTTACAGTATCAAATCGGAATATCTAAAGACCTGTTTGGGTCGTATTCAGGAGAAGACGATCACCTCCAAGCAGGACTTCCTGCACATTAAGCTCATCATCTACATGGACGCCCTGCAGTCGCTGATTTCCCTTCGTTCCCGGCAAATGCAGAGGGTGGAACTCTCAAGGATCACGGAGAAGATCGAAAACGATATACGTCGTCGATTTGCAGATCCCAATGTGGCCAAGAGGGGCACTCGCACCAATTTCAGTACTGAGAAGGCGCTCACGCACTTCATCGTGATGTCCTTGCTCATCAGCGAGAAGTACGAGGTGGACATAAATGTCCTTTCCCGCGCATTGGCCACCAGCAAGGATAAAATCAAGCAGTACGCCCATATTGTGAATGCCCTGCCAAAATCCCGCTCGGACATTCTCAGCCTGCGCCTGCCCAGCAAGGTTCCGGCACTGAAATTAGCTCGTCGCTTTCAGCGGAAGAAGTAGAAGGGGTTTTCCAAGGACACCTTGCTCTCGCCATCGATTAAACAAACCCTGAGGCGGGTCAATAAAGTTTATTAAATCCAAATGCAGACTTTATTGTTATTTTGGGTAGTTCTTTGCAGGAAAGAAAAGTTTTAGCTGTGCCCCACTCAGAAGTACATTTATAATTAAAAAGTATTTACTTGGGTGCCATCTCCAAAATAGATTAATTTACCATAAATTTGCACCGCTGCAATGTAAATAATGCACTCAAAAGTAGAATGGCTGCTTAGATTGGCTTCCTTAAAATCAAAATACTATATCCTAAAGCTCATAGCTGTTTATAAAAGAACATGAATTTCCCAACTTTTATTGCCACCATCTAAAAAGTCTAATTTTTACTGTTTCTGGTAATAGCTTTCTAATAAATGGCATTGGAAATTTAATCGAATTGAAATTAAAATAGCTGTCATAAAAACTACTGATTCACATTTCAGGCATTACAACCATTTTTACCAATTTTATGATTGCGCCAACACGAGCTTTATAAAATATAATTTACTTATTTTTAAATATTTTTATTTAGGATTTTACATTGAAAATCAAGAATAACATTGGGCGCGTACACGGGCAACGAATAGTTGCTTGGAAACAACAAGGTTGCTTAGAGTTTTACATTTAATTTCTTCCTTGCAGCAGGATGGCCAATCAAAGTGCGTGTGGTTTTCGTGTTGTGTGTGGGTGTGTGTACGACGGCAATCTTGTTAATCCCTCCCCCTTATCAGTTAGTTGCGATTATTGACTTCCAGTCACGGGTGATCCCCCGAGTTAGAAGTCCCTCAGCCCCGAGTTCTTATACTCCAGTTTAAACGGCCAGTCCGAAGACCGAAACGATGCAGTACATGGTCTTGTTCTCCCAGCGCACGGTGCAGGATCCATCGGTGTCGTTGTTCCAATAACAGGAGCTAGCGGTGTGCAGTCCTGCTCCGTTCTTCTGCATGATCATCGCGGTCACAATGTACTTGTAGGGCTTCTGCTCCTTGGTCAGGACGGTGAGGCAGTTCTCCACCACCTGGCCGGTCCAGTTGTTCACCTTGTCGTGCTGGTAGGCATTTCCACCGATGGTCGTCTCAATGGCCTCCTTAATCGTCTTGCTCACGTCGTCCACAATAAACTGGCTTTCTTCGCGTGAGTCATCCATTTTCGCAACTTCGATTCAGTTATTCCGGCAGCTGGTCAAAGATATATAGTTGCTAGTTAGTTGTTCTTGTTGCTGCAGCTGTTGTCCTTGCGGTTCTGCGCGCGTTTTTGCGTTCGTCGGCGGCGTTTGTGCAAGCGAAATAAAATATGTTGCGAGTGTTTTTTTCGAAGGGATGTGCAAAGCCTGCTTGTGTTTTATTTGGAGGTATTTTTTGGGCGATGTGATACGGGCATACTAACACAGAGTTTGGCTAGAGAAACGGTATCATTGTGCAGGGTAACCACCGGGAACCGTTACTCCAACACAGCTAATAATATGTACATAAATAGTTTTTGTTAAATTTCTCAAGGTAGAAAGTAAACATCACATTTAATACATTTGACGATTTTAACGATATTATTTGTGTGTTTGTAGCAGTATTAAAATAAAATCTAGCTTTAAGATTATTAGAATTTAGTATATACAAAAATAATAAATAAATCATTTTCTGGCTACTTTTTGTTTATCTTGTCCTGGTGATTTTTACGTTATTGTTTGGTATAATTTAGTACATTTTTGGTAACTAGAGGAGTATATTTTAACTATCCAGTTACGGTCACTCTGGCAGAATCAACATAACGGACGCGTCCGCGGCGCATTAAAACCAAAAATAATTAAATTAATTCATAACTTTGCTGCGACACCACAAACAAACCGAAACATATCAAGGCAGGCAAAATATTGCTATTAAATAGCTATTCAAATCGAACTGATTCGTGCAGAGCGTCGTTAATATTATTCGTTATGGAAAAGTGCCTCGGTGTGTAGGTTCGTGCGTATAATTAAACAAAAGTATTAAGCAAAGTCGCATATTTTGCATGACCGCTGCGAAACAAACGTCCATTAATTGTCGCAACTGCAAACGCACTTCCTTTTTCTCCCGTTTTCTTTTTGTTTTTACGGATTCGCGCTTATACATTTGCAGCTGCTGTTCAGCTATTTAGTGTATGTGATTGCCCGCTGTTGTTGTTGGCTCACCTCTCGTTAACCACCTTGAATGCGCGAGAGCGAGAGGAGAGAAGAGAAGAGTGCAAAGTTGATGTCCGAGCGTGTGTGCGTGTGTAACAACAAATTAGCTGCGACTGTGTGCGTGCGCCATTAGTCACTCTCTTTAAATTTTAACTTTTGTGGTCCACCTTTTTTGGGCGCATCACCAAAAACAACAGCAAAAAACCTACTAAGCCAGCTCTACGGATCGGTTCAAAACGAATCGGGTCGGAACGAATCGGGCATCGTCAAAAGGTTAGTTACCCGCCATTGATATTTAACCACATCACTAAGGCAACTTGACTTTTATTTTATTCCATTTCCATTGAAGTTTGCACAAGCTATTTACTTAATTGAAATTCCAATCAAGGTCGTATTTGTTAATTAATTAAATGTTTGCTTGGGTGACTAGTAGTAAGGCACAAAGAAACTTTGCAGTTATTGTACAACACAAAAATATTGCATAAACCGATATGCTACGTTAGTTCCGACTGTTTACTTGCGCCTTAGCGATAAGAATGGGAGTACTGTGACATTTATGGATGAGAGACCCATTTTCTACTAGTAGTTAACTAACTGCATAATTTTCCAAAACTGAAAAATCATTTTATATGAGTAACGAAAAATTAAGATAAGTTCCAGATTGTTTAGAATAAATGGTATTTTAGGCAAAAGCGTATAGTAAATATCATTACTTTTTTGAGCTCAATAAATACAAAAATTTTATTAAAAAGTTAAAAGTGCTGGAAACATAGATTTAATATTTGTTATATAAACCACTAATTTCATTACTTTTTTGAGCTCAATAAGTACAAAAATTAAATTTTATTAAAAAGTTAAAAGTGCTGGAAACATAGATTTAATATTTATTATATAAAAATTAACAACGTAATCATCATATCACATACATATTTATTTCTGTGTTAATGAAGTTCCTTTCTCTGTCTTTATTAAATAGAAAACCCAAGGAATTTCGTTTTCGTTTTGTCACTTTCGAGCGCAGCAGGTGTTGCATTTGTGCTTACCTCACTTTCCAGCTGACTGCCTTTCGACCGATCCTCACTTGGCGCCATGTGGCAGTCGAACAACCCTCTTTTCTCCGCCCCTGCTCGGTGATTAAACCCTTTGCAGAGAAATCTCCATTGCGTCAAAAACAGGAAATGTTTATCATGGCAATATAGGGAAAATTACAATGACACAAAAATATCTTTAAACCCAGTACTGGAAGGGAATATAGGGTACACAAAGTTGGTGTCTTTATGATCATCATTTGAAGCCCTATTTTAAGGGCCTTAATTGTACAATAATAAAAATAATTTCGATGCAACAATTCGATCTAGGCAAACTGAAATTGTAACGATTTAATTTTTTTAAGCTAAAAATATTGGAAGACTACCTAGAATTCCAAGTTAACTAAAGAGTTTTGCGACTGCATAATAATTTATGAAAACAGAAGACTTAACCGAAACAAAAAATCCTTTTTATAGGCCTTTCAAAAGAACATTGCTTTTCACATCATGATTCGAAACGCCTGCAAGTGTTCTTTACAAAAGAAAAACACTCGATATACATTTGAGTGAACAAAATTGTGGGTGTGTAAAAAAAAATACTGATGTAAGCTTTCAGCTCTGATTGTATTCAACTTTGACCCACATTCGGAAAGTGTCCCGCCATGAAACGCACGAGTGGATTGAAAGGGGAGGAGAACCTACATTGCAGTGATGGATTTTATCTGCAGCTTCTCATATATTTTATATTTGAACATGCAATTTTAGCTCGCATTGTTTGTCTAGAGTTTGTGGGCATAACACATATGTAACTACAATGTATGTTGCATATCAATCTTAGTGTGTATGTAAATACGCTTTTAGAATGAACTGCACGAGCTGGAATGGCAACAAAAAGAACGACGAACAGGGAAACGTGCTGACAATGTAGAATGATGCCGTGGATTTTGCAAACTTATATTTCACCCATTTAATTTTTTCCATTTCTTTTCGTTCTACCACTAACCATACAACATATAGACTGGTCATTTCATACGACTCATTTGGACACAAAAATTCGGACCGCGGAAGGTCCACCGCTCTCACAGCAGCAGGTCCATGCACTTCGTGTGCGTTCGGGTTTTTTACTCTCTCATTCTTATTCTCATTTTTATGCTCGCGCACTCATTGCACGAGTTCAGTCGTTCAGTCGCAGAGAGGCGCTTTTTGAAGAAGGCTGCCCTGCGCTTGAATTCGTCTTTGTCTGTATGCGTGATCATGCATTCTCATACACGGGAGCATGTGTGCGTTTATTTCATTTCGGCGCATCAAGAATATTTTGTCTTTTGCCACTTTTCAAACTTGGTACCCTAAGAATATGGGCGTATTTACTATTGGGTTATGATATAAATATTAATATTATATGTTATAATATATTTTTTTAATATTTCAGCATACATTTTATTTTTGTTTACAAATTCAAATCAGTGGTAGCAGTAAAATGTTTTACATATATGTATGTATTCGAATTTATAGAAATCAGTCCACTGAGATCGGAACAGGGCATATCGCAGTCGTGTCACTTAATACACCGACTGCTCTTCAGTGGTTGAGAAAACTTCAAACTAAATCAATTCTTGTCGATGTTTTGCGAGTGGTTGGTGCCTGCATACCCTACCGACCGGCTTTTAGGACACTTGTTTTAAATGTTATGTTTAGTGATCTTTGGTTGATTTATTTTTTAATGATTCGCAGTGTTATTTTAATTGTCTTTAAACAAGTAATAAATAATAAAATACTTTTTATATTTTTGAAAATGTAAATGGAACAAATATAAAAATCCACATTTTTTTAATGATAATAATTTATTTTAATGATTATAATTTTAGATTTTAATTGTACCAATATCTTGAATTTTAACGAATTGTTTAAAGACAATTAAAATAACACTGCGAATCATTAAAAAATAAATCAACCAAAGATCACTAAACATAACATTTAAAACAAGTGTCCTAAAAGCCGGTCGGTAGGGTATGCAGGCACCAACCACTCGCAAAACATCGACAAGAATTGATTTAGTTTGAAGTTTTCTCAACCACTGAAGAGCAGTCGGTGTATTAAGTGACACGACTGCGATATGCCCTGTTCCGATCTCAGTGGACTGATTTCTATAAATTCGAATACATACATATATGTAAAACATTTTACTGCTACCACTGATTTGAATTTGTAAACAAAAATAAAATGTATGCTGAAATATTAAAAAAATATATTATAACATATAATATTAATATTTATATCATAACCCAATAGTAAATACGCCCATATTCTTAGGGTACCAAGTTTGAAAAGTGGCAAAAGACAAAATATTCTTGATGCGCCGAAATGAAATAAACGCACACATGCTCCCGTGTATGAGAATGCATGATCACGCATACAGACAAAGACGAATTCAAGCGCAGTGCAGCCTTCTTCAAAAAGCGCCTCTCTGCGACTGAACGACTGAACTCGTGCAATGAGTGCGCGAGCATAAAAATGAGAATAAGAATGAGAGAGTAAAAAACCCGAACGCACACGAAGTGCATGGACCTGCTGCTGTGAGAGCGGTGGACCTTCCGCGGTCCGAATTTTTGTGTCCAAATGAGTCGTATGAAATGACCAGTCTATATGTTGTATGGTTAGTGGTTCTACAGACAAGGAAAACTTGCAAAGACAATGCAAAAATCATAGGTTAAATTTGTAAAACCCGTTTTCAGCGTGTCTTTTCGCTTCGGCTTTTTCCGGTCTCCCTTATACGATATTTTGCTAAAGTTTCTGGGGTTTTATTAAGTATGCTGATTCGGGAAGCTGTTTTAGTTTGGCAAGTTGCTTAAAGCGCTAAATCTGCTGATCAAATATTTACCAGCCATGTGTACGTGTGTATATTTGAGTAGTTTGTTGTCGCACCAGATTCAAGCTGTATCCACAGACGCTTATTAGGAGAGTGAAAACAGAAAATCAAATTAATCTTTAACCCCCTGATGATAAAGAGTTCTTATTATACAAAACTGTCTGTTAAGAGATCCCCAGCTCAATAAACCTTAACCTCAAAGAACGCACACAAAGCGTGGTTCTGTTGCCAGCCATCTTGCATTGGTCTTCTTTATCGCAGTTGATGTAAATTGAATGATTTTGGCTTTG